CACTGAAGCAATGACCATGAAACTGAGCAAACTCAGGGAGGCAGTGAAGGACCGGAAGGCCAAGCGCAATATGGTTCATGGGGTCACGAAGAGTCAGACACGACTTAACGACTAAACAACAACAGCCCAAGCTTTATGTACATCCTTGTGACATTCTGATCTCCAGCACCTTTAACTCTTGTGAATTAACATTATCAATACATATTGGTGGCCCGCAGCACAGTACTGGTGTGTTCTGCTACAGGACACTGACACTGCTTCTGTGGTACCAAACAGCTTTCTTCTGAAGACAAATCTGAGCTATTATGTCCTTGAGAGACAGAAACAAACACCATCTACTGAGTTAACTTTTATTGACTGGACTGCCTACAGAAACAGATGCCTTTATCTCCTCAGAAGCCTTTCATCCACGTGTCCAGGACCCAAAGCTTTGGTCCTCTCAGCAGCAGCAGCAGCAGCAGCGGCGGTGGCTACTTTGCCAGCTCAAGCAACTGGTGCAAAATCTTCTTCTGGCCATATCGCACCTGGAGAGCGAACTGCTCCCGGCAGCTTAATTTGGAATAAGCCTGCAAGTCTCCCAGCATAATTTCCTCCTCATTCAAATCTGAGGTGAAAGACTTCAGCGTTAGTACTGTAGCATCAAAGAGAAGTTTCTTCTGAGCGGCATTCAGTTTTGGTATCGTAGTAACAGACTGGATCAAGCAACTGGTTCCCTTTCCATCCATCTTTGCCTCTTGCTCTTTAAACTCCTTGAATTCCTCTGCAGACAAAGTTAGCACCTACAGCCACACACAAACACACACCATCCCCAGTTAGAGATGTCAACCGAAACAGAATTTCACTATTGCCTTGGCCTACTCAATGGGGGTTTCAGGGTTAAACATGAGTTTCTAGGCAAAACCACTCTTGTATTTCAACCTAGACAGTGAAAATTGCTTTTCTCAGTGGATTTCAAGCAGCCCATTCTCCATCTGACACGCAGCTAATCTCTTAAAAGGTTGTTGTCTGCCAGTTTGATCACTTGCAAGGTTTTGTCTTACATGCTGCGTGTAAGACAAATTCATCAAACAAACAGAGAGAGAAACATCAGTAGAGACTCAAAAAAGCTTGTGTGCATTTATTCTAATCCCCTGAAGGATGCTCTACTCCAGGCAGGTGCTGCATGTTTCCTAACACACCTTTCCAAGCTAGAGCCCTCCATGGAAGGAGCCTCAGAAGAGCAGGTGCTGATGGCCTTCAGGAAAGCACCAAAGTCATCTGCTGTTTAAAGCCCAAGAGGCCCACTCACCAAAACCAGTACCATAAGTCTGGGAGGTCCACTCAGGCAGCCAAAATCCACCCAAAGCCTTAAAACTAAAACCAGAACTGTTGTTTTTGCACTCTTCAACCTAGTGGCTTTATAGCAAGAAGAGATCCACAGGATTACAGGACTCTTCCAAATACCACGTCAGAAATCTCTGAAGCAGTTTCATGTCATTTGGGATCAAGAAAATACAAAAACTGCTTCAGTTCTCAAATGCCCACTCCGTCGCTAAAAATTGTGAGGAAAAAAACAGAACCCTTATCCCTGCTCTGACGCACAAGGCAGTCTGTCATTCAGCACCAGCAACCTGCTTGTGGTTTCCCCCCAGTATGAAAATGCCACCCAAAGATTGCCCATTCCTGGCTCACAGCAATAGAGGGACTGCTTTGCTTTCTTTGGGTAACGTCACTCGAGGAATTGTCTCCTCCTGGGAGCGCACTGTCCAAGCCTTGAGGCATGAGACTCCCAGGCAAACACTGGAGTCTTCCTTCATTCAGCAGCCCCCAAGGGCTCCACATCAGCAGAAACTCTACCACTGCAGGGACATAATGTTCCTCCCTTCCCTGGAGTTTCACAGCCACTTCTATGTTTCCTATGCTACTTACCATTTTCCCTCTAGTAGGACCTTCACAATGAGGTAGTCCATACTGAGATTTTTCAGGGTACACCTTCCTCTGTGAGAAGGAACTGATCTTTCCAGGTTCGGCCTTGTCTGCAGCAATGGGGGTTAGCAGAACAAACCAAGCTGTTGCGAGCTAAACCGCCAGAGGGACATGGTGAGATCCAAATTTTTATTTCAGGAGAGCTTCTTTCACACCAAGGGCATTGCAGCAGTGGCATAGCTAAAGGACATTTCTAGCCCAGTCAACAGGGGGTATATCACTGCCAGAAGCTCCTCTGAACAAAATTAGGAAGTTGAAGCTCATAATTAGGATGCTGAAATTTACATATGGAGTCCTTTTGCTTTAGAGGACCTTTGGTATCCTTAGTTCTTCAAAATCTGGGTGACCTGGCTTGTCTCCCTTTAGTCAGATTAGTTAACATGATCGTGATTGTCTCTCGCTTTTCTAAACTTTAGATTATCAATGAGATTCCTAATTGGCCGTTGTTTTCACAGATGAATCTCTTGAAATCTGGAAAATGAACTCCGGGCTTTTGAAATGAGAGAAGCCATAAACACCCTTCTGCAGTAAGCAGCCAACTGACCAAATCTCCTGCTGCTTAAACAAAAAATACCCAGATATGGAGGTCAAATCACTCACCTGTAATGCCACCGAGAGCTCCTCTTCAGTCAAGACTCTCTCCCAGCCAATCACAAAAGCCCCTTCCTCACCCACCACTTCCTGATGGCAAAGGAAGTCCCATTGGTCCAGGACCAGTTTCTCTTCCATTTCTGTATTTGTAGCTGGTTGAATAACATACAGTCAAAATTTTGAATGGGCAGGCAAAACTGAATTTGAGAGAAGAACGACCCTGTCCTCTGATTCAAAAAGCATTTGCCCTCCTGGTTTAACTGAAAAGTAGAAATGTAGCAGTTCTCTCCTACTTCAGCGTGATCCAGTTGGGTGTAATGCAGAAAGAGACAACCTTCTGAACCTGCTGAAATGTTGAGAGGAGGCTGTGCGTGTTTTCACAAGTCTAGCTCATCAGTGAAGTCCCATTTATTAGAAGGGAAAGTTCAGCTTAGCTTTGCCTTCTGGGCACATGGGCAAGATATTCATTTCATCTTTTCAAAGAAAACACTCTAAAAAAATCTAAGAGTTTATCAGAGTAAACCCTGTCTTTTCCTCCCTGTCACTATAAAAACTAAAAGAAAAAAGCAACCCCAATTAATAATTTTACATTTTAATTTGCCAATTTACAGGCTGTTTTGTGGATCCAGCAGAAACCAGCGGCAGCTGGAATCCATAGCCCCACCTGAAGGAACAAGGTGCTGACAATCTTGTGGAAGTGTTAACCACGAGAATGCCAACCAGCCACTGGGCGGCTGAGGATCGTCAGTGCTGGTGTGGGAACCAAGGGTTGTTAGATAGCAGATGGGGAAAACTAGCCACATTCAAAGGCTTACTATATGTAGGTAAAGGCTTCTATTGTACAAGGAAAAGTGATCTCATTTACTCTGTGCCTTAAGAATATTAAAATGCGTGTTAACAAAACCACTGATAGAGGTAACTTAACAGTGTATAATGACAATAACCATTATTGCCTGGATCATCTGCACCTGTTTCAGACCAGGGTACAGTATAGGGACAACCCTGGTCATGCTTGCTGATGACCTTTGGTGGAGCTGCGATGGGGCTGGTGCATCTGTCCTAGCACTCCTTGATCTCTCAGCAGCTTTCAATACCATCAACCATGGTATCCTTCTGGACCACCTTCAGGAATTGGGAGTGGGAGGCACCGCACTCCAGCGGTTCACCTCCTTCCTCAGCAGTCGGTTCCAGCTGGTGTTGACAGAGAGGAGAGATCGCATCTGCAGCCCCTCATGTGTGGGTGCCTCGGGGCTCGACATTCTCCCCTCTCCTGTTCAACATCTACATGAAACCACTGAGTGAGGTCATCTGCTGGGTCGGGGTTTGCTATCACCAGCATGCTGATGATATCCAGCTCTACAGCTCAATCCCAAGCTGCATAGTGTCTTGAGGCTGTTCAGGTGCGGATGGGACGGAACATACTTTGGTTCAATCCTAACAAGATTGCACGGTTGTGGCTGTTTGGACAGCCAGGGGCAGGGATGTCACCATCCTTGGTCTTGGTTGGGGCTGCGCTTCCCCAACTGAGGACAGTGGACAACTTGGGGGTCCTTCTGGACTCACAGTTACTGCTTGGAGAGAGCAGACTTCAGACAATTACACGTGCCCTGGTCAACTCACAACTGGATTCTTGCAATGCGCTGCACATGGGCTTCCCTTGAAGAGCACCCGGAAGCTACAGCTGGTTCAAAATGCAGCGGCATGAGCAGTAACAGGCACCTGTCAGCATGCCCATGTGTCACCACTGCTTCTGAGCGCAATTCAAGGTGTTGGTAACTACCTATAAAGCCCTCTATGGCAGAGGGCCTGGATATCTAAGTTTCTGCCTGCCCAGTACGTTCCTGCATAGTGGGTGTGTTTTCCAGCTCCCCTCTATGAAGTGTTGTAACCTTGTGGGACCGAGGAGATACGCCTTCTCCACTGCAGCCCCTCCCACCGAAACAGCATCTCCCCAGAGGTAAGGACGGCACCTCTTTCCTGGGGTTCCGGAAAGCTCTGAAAACCTGGCTGTGGTCCCAGGCCTGGGTTTGAAGTTTTATTTGTCTAGGGCCCTTATTCTGTTTTGTTATTGTCAATAAATCAGTTCTGCCTTAATGTCATGGTGTCTTAGTCTCTGGTTTAATTGAGTCCTATTAAAGGGGGAAAGTCAGTCAGTGGAAATGCTCCCCCCTTCCCTGAGTGCTAAATAATCTACCAGAATGGCATCTCCAGTCCACCTCAGAAGGAGATCTCCAGACAACGTCACGCCCTCATGTACGAGGCGTCATCTGACCGAATTTCTCTGTTTTTACACAGCATACATCCTGTCTTCAAACTGAACTGCCTCCTTGTGCTAAATCAGGGGATCAGTAATCAGGGGTTAGCCACTTGCCTTGAAGCGCAGCTTTCAGTAGTGTCAACATCTGGATATCGGCAGTGTCGTTGGTATTGCCAGGGTAGACCTCAGCAAAGCCATACATGTGGAGGAGCTGCCAGTTTGCCATTTCTCCGTAAGTGTTGAAGATCTCCTGGCCTTTGCAGACCGGCTGAGTTGTGACCATTTTCAAGGACTCCTGCCAAAACAGCAGGAAAAGGACCCCTTCGGAATCCTTCCTGTTTTGCTGTCCTGAGTATCTCCCAGGACCATCTGAAGCTGACTGTCCTTCATTTTTAGTAAGTGCTGAGCTGAGTTGCTCCACTGATCGAGGGCAGGAAGTCCAGGGGAGGGCACAGGAAGAAAAGCGCCCCTGCCCTGGACTCCTCTTCCATTCTTGGAAATGGATTTCTCAGTGCAATGCAACCTCAGGGATGGTGAAGTGGGGGGCTCTGCTTACCGGGGAATATTCCAAGTTGGCATTGTGGTTGGCCACATGATTTAGGAGATCTGCCAGGGGTACCATCACTGGAGGGTTAGGCTCTTCCTCATCTTCTTCCTCATCCAGGGGTTCTTGGAAACTACATCAAGTGAGAAAGAAGTGACTCAGGACCCTTTAAGGAGAACAAAACCATGCTGATGCAGGTAAGAGGGAGGAAAGCTGTGGGATCCCAAAATCTGCAAGGCTGTAATTAGGCTGAGAGCCAAGTGGCCTCTAAATTCAGCAATTTGCTTAATTTTTAGGTCCCTTAGCAATGCTCAAGCTACCCAGAAGCTATAGAATGTTTCTGATAAAAGCTCAGAAAACAGATGGCTATGAGCTACAGCTGCTATGCATTATACAGTATGGGTAGTCCTGCCAGAACCTCGCAATTAACTTCACTGATTGTTTGTAATTGCTAGCTTGCTCAGTTCTGCCATAGTAGTAGTGGGCGGGGAAACCAGTTAGGTGAATAACAGTTAGTGCAGATGGCTTAGTCCTCATTTAGCAACCACAATTGGAACTGGCAATTCTGTCGTTAAACAAAGTCGCTAAGTGGAAAATCATGTGACTGCAACTGTGCTTTCCTTCCCCCCCCCCCCGCTTTGAAATGTACACCCCAGGGCTGGGATAATTAGCAAGAAGGGAATTAATGTTTGTATTTATATTCACTGGAGATTATGCCTTCCTCTCCAATCTCTTTGCTCTGCAAGGGGGGTGTCGGAACCTGCATCACCCTACTATTGTTGTTTTACATTGTATTGCATTCGATGGGAGTTGGATTGATTTGGTCCTGCAAACTGTAAATAAGGAGGGGGGGTTGCAGTTAAAGGAGGTAATAGGAGTAGTATCGGGTGGTGGGATGGTGCTTAACCATATATGGGCAATTTAGACTGGCCTGATTGCGG